AGATAAAATATTCAAGATTTTCATCAGAAGTAGACTTCGAGAATCAAGGTGACACACAGTATATTTTTACATATATAATTTTGAAGATCTTTCTCTTTCAGCTACAGTTTTCCTGCCATTTAGTCATAGAAGTTTCCTTTGTGAAAATCATTATCTGTATTTCAGGGAGAAAATAAGCACCTAGTATTTTATTCCTACCAGTGTAAATGGCCTATTTAAAACTGAAATTTGTTTAATTTAGGTTAACATAACTTTAATTCAAATAAATTTTAATAAATTTTAAAAAAATCTCTGCACCCAGTATACTGTCTGACTGTCAGTTTTCATATCAGCCAATCTAAATTAATCTTATGAGAGAAGTTATCTTGGGAATTCCTAAACTATTTGAGTGAAATAACAATAGTGAAGTTAATTATTGTGAGAAAACCATCCAGACATCAATACATAAAATGGCTTTTATGATGACATCAACATCAAGATGTTCAAAACAACTCAAAAAATAGTGTTATCTGACTTGTCAATATTATCTAAACTACATGTAAGGTGGTAGTGTTGTCTTGAAATTATTACTAGGAATTAACCCATAAAATTTTACGAGTATCAAACGGGTGGTATTTCTGTTCCATTTGTATGCCAAAAATTTGCATAATGTTGAGCATTGGTCTTCTCTAAGTTAGATGGCACCTATGACACTTTACACATGCTAGTGCGATTTTTTTTATTAACCAAACTGTCTCCGAGTCTGAAATCTCTTTTAGGATATCATCTTCTCCTTTTATTATCACTGCATATACTTATGTATGATGTTTGGTAAGTCTATGTTCACTATTCTGATGTTTACCACTGTGTTATCACTTATCTCACTCTTTTTGCCTTATATACTTAGTACTTTGTGCTTTGATGACTACTATATTAGTGGCTTTGTACCTTGCACATGTCCTGATCAAATGATTTTGTTTCATAGGTAGCGGTAACACGTATATATCTTGTAACTTTATCACTAGTTTTTAAAAATTGTCCTTTTGAGATATTACATATATAACAAAAAATTCACCTGCTTTAAATGTACATTTTGGTCCTTTTTAGAGTACATAAAGAATTCTTCAACTGTTTGCAGTATTTAATTTTAGGACATTTCTTTTGCTCCAAAAATTAAGTAAAACCCATTTCATTAATACTAATTTTTCATTCTTAATCATAGGCCCAGGAAAAATTTATATATGTATGTATATATATATATATACATACATATATATATACATACATATATATGTATATATGTATACATATATATATACACATATACACACATTTGTATATTATATTCCTTTTCTTGATACTTTATATAAATAAAACCATGTTATATGTAGTCCTTTGTGTTTAGCTTCTTTTAGCTCAGCAATGTTTTTTAAAATGTATCTCAGTTGTCAAACTTAATTTGTTCCAAAGTCATGTTTGAATGCCAAAAGTCTGAGAACTGAACATATCTTCCCCCATGAGAAATGATAGAAAAATCAAATAATTGGTTCTGAGGTCCAACAATTACACTTATAAATTCATTTTTCCAGGACTTTAACAAATTGCACAATGATTTCTTTCTTTAACTCTATCATGGTTCTCACAGTTTTCCTCTTAGCTTTACTGCTGGTATCATTCACTTTCTGTAGAGTCATGCTCACAATATTTTACACAAATAAAGCACAAGCAAATAAAAACACAATGATGAATATTTTAATGCAGTAACACAGCACTATATGTTGTCCATGACAGAGCAGCATTTAGATTCTAGGGTCACTCCGCTGTGTCCACAGCGAGATGCAATGTGTGACTCACAGTTAGCTTTTACAAGTTTTTTCAAGTCAGATTTTTGTTTGACTGTTATGCAAAGTTACAAACACTGAACAATTTTTTTTCTTTGGTGTAGTGAAAGTTCAAGTGGAACCATTCAAAAACCAAGATATCACTGCATTATGAGCACTGCTTTGTCTGTAACAATAATGTTATTTGAAGTTCATCTGTGTTGTATGTATTTATACTTTTGCCAAATAGTTTACACTTTAGGGAGAATATCACAATTTATTTTTTCTTTTCCAATTGTTTCCCCTTTTGCTACTCTAAATACAACTGCTATTAATATTAATACACCAGTGTCTTTTTCTATTTCTCCTATCTAGATACCTTAGGGTAGATTTGCTAAGGTTATATGTTTACTCAGTGTTTAATATTTTCAAAAGCTGTCAAAACATTTTCTGGATTGACTGTACTATTTTACAGCACTATATTAGCGCTCTAGGTTTGCTACAACCTCTCATAGTCTGTCTTCTCTTAATAGCTTTTCTGATAAACATGAGGTAATGTCTCACGATATTCATTTGATTTTTCTTAAAAATTAAAGATGTTGAGCTACTTTACTTGAACCATCATTTTTTTGATAGTCTGAAAGAGGACATCAGCAAGTCATTGATGCTTCAGGTTTATTTTATAACTATGTTCAATAAGCAAGGGTTAACAATTAAAAGTAGAATATTGGTAGAAGTGAGACAAAATTAGGAAGAATTTGGGGTAAGGCTTGTATCTTCAACATTGACCTCTGTTTATCTAGAGGTATTCACCAAAGTACAGCAGGTAGACTTTATGAGCACAAAAACTCTCTCCAGTTTTCTCAATATGAAACACAATATCCTCCTCTTATAATAATTATAACAATGGCCAAATAACATACTAAATAAAGATATCTATGTTTTGTAACCATTGGGCCATTAATTTTTTTTTTTTTTTTTACTATAGGGCTTGAATCTGGCTTCTGTTTTGTAGACCTGAAGACTTTTTCGTACTGACTGGCTCCAGGTAATGCAAGCATATAAAGTGTGAAGCAGATAACAGAAAGTTCATGCTACAAAGGCAACAGAGCTTAGTAGACACAATAGTTATGTTGCCTCTTTTATTCTATAGTGATAATTTTACAGGAAGCCAAATATTTACTTGAGGAGCACTTGAAAGTACATGAAAGCAATAAAATGGCTAGGTAATAACAGAACTGAGGGACACATTTTGGGAAGCGGTATTAGGACTGGGAGTCATGACCTCTCATGACTGCAGGCCAAAACATTAAAGATGGAGTGAGAGACAACCAGTAGGGTCATATGCAGTGTTTGGAGTCCCTTTCTGTATCTAACCAAGTGTTCTCTCTTTTTATATTGTTATTAATGACTCAAATTTTTAGTTGTACTTTCCTGTTGGGTGTGTAGGACCAAGACAATGTGAGAGCTGTGTCAATAAAAATTAATTTATTTATATATAGTTGTCAATGTCAATTAAAGCTTCTTAAAGCTTATTTTTGGGGCTGTGTGAGGTTAAAATTTATATAACACACAACATAACAAGTGGAGTCTATTGTAAAATATAGACATTAGCTAAAAACAGGATCAAAATTGACTCATTGGTTGTAACCATGTATCACATTAATATAAGGTATTGACAATAGAGAAAAGAAAAGTGATAATAAGAGGATATATGAAAATTAAATATTTCAGGTCTTTTTGGGTACTGGGAATTGAACTAAGGGGTTTGCCCTTGCCAGGCAAGTGCTTGTGCTATGGAGCTATATACCCAGCCCCGAGACTTATTTGCTTTTTTAAGCCTAAATTTGCTCAACGCAGTAAAATCTATTCTCTGTACACCTGAAGACAACCCACTAAAAAGATATTGGATAATTTATTAACATAGTTTAAAATAACCTTGAGACCTCAAGATAGGAGACGTTCGTGTTCGAGGTGTATACAGTAGGAAACACTTACTTTCAAGTTTTTCTATGAGGAATAAATATTGATCTTGCAAAAATATTTAGATAGATGGCTCTGAGACTTGCTTTGAGAAGGAAATTTAACAAATGCAACTCAGAATTGAAAAGTATTGTTTCACAATGTGAAAGGCATGATTTAGTAAGCGAATCCAAATACTAATTGTGATATCAAGGGTGTAAAAGTAATTACTCAGCACATAAAATTCTCAAAAGACTTCTCATCCAGACGTAATTCCTTGGATGGTTCTTCTAAATATCAGTGCACAAAAGAGATGACTATATATATATACATTTTTTTCTGAATTCTTACAAGGTAGACATGACTGTTGCAACTTCTCTCACAGTAAATATTACTGTGAGAGGCTAAGAAGAAAATCAAGATCTATTGTTTATGCTACTATTGCTTTATAAAAATGTACACAAAAGGTAGGTTAGAATAATTTAGTTCTTAAAATTGCAGGTTCATAGTAGCATCTCTAGAATTTAAAATAAAGTTTTACACTGTGATATGACCTTGGTAAGCTAATCATATAGGGTCTGAGCTGTTGTCTGTAAAACTGGTGTAATAAGAGCTATGTAATATAGTGGTTGTACCCCTTAAATTGGATGATACCTGTAAAATTTTCAGAAGGTTTAGGAAAATATTTACTGCATTGCAAGCAATGATAAATATTTTCAAGTATTATTATGACTTATTATTTCTGCTATATTGGAGATTCCTAGGAAGATTTGAGAGAACTTTTGTTTAAATGTGGTGTTGTTTTAATACATGTTATCTTCTATGGGATTATACTGCTGGAAGACAGCCAGATAAATGGAGCAAATCCCATCTTAAATGACAATTTTAATGGTAGTTATAACACTAAGTTTTTAATAAATCATTCAAATAGTTCTCTTGCCCTCACTTTTTATTAAAAGCCATGCATTGATCCTATCTGTCTCACATTAGTTCAGAAATTCATGGTTTCTCTCATCTGTGTTGAGGCAGAAGGGGATAAAG